TAATACTCAATAATGCAACTAAATGTTGTATAAAAGTATTTTTTGGTAGAATCAAGAACTGAAGATAATATGGCTGGGTAGCCACTTAAGGGCTATTCTTTTAAATTCTGAGATTTATTATATATATATATATATATATATATATATATATATATAATTTCATATATACAATTTAAAACTAATTATAAAGCAACCCTCTATATTACCATCCTTGTCAAGAAAGAACCCCCAGCATGCCAGAAGCACCTCATCTGTCCATCCTCAATAACAACTCCATCTCCCTCTTAGAGGTAACCTCTAACCTAACTTTTTCCTTGCTTTTCTTGTTAGTTTTACCACTCATGCGTGCGCGTGTGCTAAGTCGCTTCAGTCGTGTCCAACTCTGCAACCCCATGGACTGTAGCCTGCCAGGCTCCTTGGTCCATGGGATTCTCCAATAACTCATGCATAAATCCCTAAATAAAAAAATTAAGTTTTTCCTATTTTTGGACTTTATATGAAGTAGACTTGGGCTTCTCTTGTGGCTCAGACAGCAAAGAACTGGGCTGCAATGCAGGAGACCCAGGTTCAATCCCTGGGTCGGAGCGGGGGCTGGTGGTGGAGATCCCCTAGAGAAGGGAATCGCTACCCACTCCAGGATTCTTGCCTGGAGAATTCCATGGACAGAGGTGCCCAAGGGCTACAGTCACAAAGAGTTAGACATGACTGAGCAACTAACACTTCACTTCAACCCTGAATATTCACTGGAGGACTGATGCTGAAGATGAAGCTCTAATACTTTGGCCACCTGATGTGAAGAGCCGACTCACTGGAAAGGACTCTGATGCTGGGAAAAATTGAGGGCAGGAAGAGATGGTTGAATGGCATCACTGATTGAATGGATATGGTTTGGGCAAACTCCAGGAAACAGTGAAGCACAGGGAAGCCTGGCCTGCTGCAGTCTATGGGGTTGCAGAGTCTGACATGACTTAGCAACTGAATAACAACAATGAAGGGACTCACATGGCAGGTGTTTTTTGTGTCGTTTCTTTTGTTCATCACTGCCTATGAAATTGATCCATGTTGTCTATAGCTGGAATCCTCTCATTTTCCTGGTTTAATATTGTGAATATTCTTAGAGAATTTATCCATTCATGTGTTGATGAACACTTGGCTTTTTATTCCTAATATCATGCACAGAGTCAACATGTTTTAAAATAAATAATTCCAGTGCCAAAGAATGTTCTGCCCATGTTCTCTTCTAGGAGTTTTATGGTTTCAGATCTTACACTGAAGTCTTTAATCCATTTTGAGTTTATTTTTGCATATAGTTTGAGGGTGTGAGGGTGTATTCTAATCTTGTTTTACACATAGCTGTCCAGTTTCCCCAGCACCACTTATTGAAGAGATTTTCTTCTCTCCATTGTATATTCTTGCCTTCTGTGTCATACATTAATTGACCATGGATTTATTGCTGGGCTCTTTACTCTGTTCCATTGATCTATGTGTCTGTTTTTGTGCTTGTACCACGGCTGTTTTGATTACTGTAGTTTTATAGTATAGTTTGAAGTTTGAGAGGCTGATACCTCCAGCTTTATTCTTTTCTTCCCAAGGTTGCTTTGGCAATTTGGGATATTTTGTGGTTCCGTAAAATTTTTTGTTGTTCCACAGAATTTTTTCTAGTTCTGTGAAAAATGTCATAGGTATTTTGATAGGGAATGCATTAAATCTGTAGGTTGCTTTGCATCTTTGTATCTGTTTCCTAAGGCAAAAGAAATAAAAGTGAAAACAAATAGCCTAATTAATCTTAAAAGGTTTTCTGTATAGCAGTGGAAACCATCTACAAAAATAAAGAGACAACCTACTGAATAGAATAAAATATTTGTGAATGATATGACTGACAAGGGGTTAATATCCAGAACATATAAACAGTTCATACAATTCAGTCTCAAAAAACCCCAAACAACCCTATCAAATGGGTAGAAGACCTTCATAGACATTTTTCCAAAGAAGATATACAGATGGCCAACAGGCACAGGAAAAGATGCTCTATATCACTAATCACTGGGGATTCCCTGGTGGCTCAGGAGGCAAAGAATTTGCCTGCAATGAGGGGAGTAGGTTCGATCCCTGGGTCAGGAAAATCCCCTGGAGAAGTGAATGGCTACCCACTCCGGTATTCTTGCCTAGAGAACTCCATAGACAGAGGAGCCTGGCGGGCTACAGTCCATGGGGTGGAGAAATATAAATCAAAATGATTGATTCATTGAGATATCACTTCACATCAGTCAAAATGGCCATCATCAAAAAGTCTACATATAACAAATGTTGGAGAGGGTGTGGAGAAAAAAGAACACTTGCATATTGTTGGTGGGAATGTAGCTGGTATAGCCACTATGGAGAACAGTATGGAGGTTCCTTAAAAACTAAAAATAGAACTACAACATGATCCAGCAATTCCACTCCTTGGTATATGTCCAGAAAAAAAGCAAAAACACTAATTCAGAAAGATACATGTACCCCAGTGTTCAAAGCAGCACTATTTATAATAGCCAAGATATGGAAGCAACCTAAGTGTGCATCAACAGATAAATGAATAAAGATGTAGTGTATGTGTGTAAAGGTGTGTGTATATATATATATATACACACACACATACATATATAAAGAGATGCAGTGTATATATGTGTTTATGTAGTGTATATGTATGTGTAATATTCCATTTTGAGAATATTGTAACCATAAAAATAACCACCATGGATATGGCTTGTTTTGTTGACTTAGCTTTGAAACTTAAGAATGGTCAGCAACTGCAGTTTAGAAAACCTTGACAGTCAATATTCATCTCTCAATACACACTCAGTCATAAAGAAGAATGAAATACTGTCATTTGCAGCCATGTGGATGGACCTAGAGAGTATTATGCTTAGTGAAATAAGTCAGAGAAAGACAAATACTGTATGTTACATTTATATATGAATCTAAAAAATAATACTAACCAGTGTATATAGCAATACAGAGAGAGATTCATGGATATAGAAAACAAACTGTGGCTACCAGAGAGGAGAGGGAAGCAGGGGAGGGACAAGGTAGGGAACAGGATTAAGAGATACATACCACTATGTATAAAATAAACAACAAGGATATATTATATAGCACAGTGAATTATAGCCATTTTCTTGTAATAACTTCTAATGGAATATAATCGGTAAGAATACTGAATCACTATGCTGCACGCCTGAAACTAATATACTTTAAATCAACTATAATTTATTTAAAAATATAAAAAATAATTCATTAAAGCAGTTTAAAAAATGGTAGGTAGCATACATACTTTACTTTTACATAACAATGAATAGTGAACATCTTAAAGATGCTGGTAAAATTAGAGCAGTAAGTTTAAAAAATTGATGTTGCAGGATTCAAGTCCAATTTCTACTTGACATTACTGTCTTCAGAAAATTATATGGAAATGCCCCTAAACTGTCTGATCATTCTCTTACCAGAGAGAATGCAAGGCAATTTCCCTAAACCTGGTAAAGTAGTAGTTGCTTTCATTATAAACATCAGAATGAGTTTTATATTAAATTCAGAAACTGATTTTCATCAGCAGTTGAATTCTGATTTCTAGTTCAAACAAAGTTACACCTTTCATGCTTTAAAAGTTCTCCCATAATCACAGAATTTTTGGTAAAAATGTTACCACTCTATAATTTTCTTTCCACTCTATAAATTTTCTTTCCAGCTAAATCCAGATTTTCAGAAAAATTGATCATAATATCTAAAAGCAATGACAAATATCATTTTGTTAAAACTCTCTGAATCTTTGCTTGGGCAGATTTCTCAGGCCATGCCATTTTCTGTGAAATGAATGGGTTACTCTCTATTCCACCAAAATGAATACGGAGTGTCAATGTAATTATAAAGATACATTTGCACAATAATACTTTATTTGCATTTCGTAAGATTTCAGGTCCTTATTGGGTGTGCAGTTTAACAAGCTAAAAGTAACCACCATGGGGATGGCCTAACTATTTCGTTGGGTTAGCTTTGAAACTTAAGAATAGTCAGCAACTGCAGTTTAGGAAAATCTTGACAGTTAATATTCATCTCTCAGTTATCCCCAGAATTTGACATAGTTCCTGAATGAAAACTTTTACTGAATTTCTCTTCTATTACTTCTGTGTTTTTGAGTTTGGAGGCAAATCTTATTTTATGCTGGAAATGGTTCTTCCTGCAAATGGTCTGATAATCACTGTATAATTCTTTTTACTTGTTAAATCTGCCCCCCAAAAAAATCACTTTCCACAAAATCTTGGTCAATCCATGTAAGGTTTGAGATGAAAATTTACTTAAAGACTACTAACAGCAAGCATAAATTATTTTCATTATCAATATTTAAGGCCACACATGTGCCAAGTAATGTGCTAGGTGGCCCTGGGAATAAAAGGTATGATGAGATAAAGTCCCTGCCTTCACAAACAGGAAACAACCTGTGAATAATTACAGAGTATTTTAAAGACTACAATAGAGGGGAAAAAAAAAAAGACTACAATAGAGGCCTGTGACGGGAAGGGTCTGTCCATGAAAGGTATCTCCAAGGAGGCATTTTTAATAGTCACATTGGTAGTTTGAATAAAATATTACTTTCAAAACAGTACAAGAATGTTTACTGAGTTTAATATGCATACCTAAAGAAAGTATGCATTTCCTTTTACATTTTTAATTTCAAGTTTTTCCTTTTACGTTACCAATTTTCTTACCACACTTGTTTTTAATGATGTTAATGATAAACTAAAGCTAAATGTTTAAATAGTTCTAATAAGACTTTCCAGCTTATCTTTTTTAACAACCCAGTTGAGTGAAAGTTATATGAAACAAACAGAATATTTATAATTTGGAATATATTGATAAATATAATTGAGAATCCTTGTAACCAAGCATTCTGTTTGTGCTCTATGTGTTACAATCAGTCAAGAAAATAAATGTTTTAATAACCTACTATGTATTGTCTTTTCTAGATGAAAACTTCTCAGTTCCTCATAATAAAAGGGGAGTTCTTGGAATGGTCAACAAAGGCCATCACAGCAATGGGTCACAATTCTATATCACACTACAGGCTACTCCGTATCTAGATAAAAAATATGTGGCTTTTGGGTATGTGCATTTTAAGTTTGTCTATGTGATATTTATATATGTTAAAACGTGGTTCAAAAATATTTGGGTGAGTATTGTACATAGTCTACGAGTAAACTAAAAACAATTAAAAAACAAAAGTAATACAAATACTATAGACAAATATATTTAGAAATAAGTATTTCATGAGAAGCTTGCTTGGAGAAGGAAATGGCAAACCATTCCAATATTCTTGCCTGGAAAATTCTGTCGACAGAGGAGCTTGGCAGGCTACAGTCCATGGGGTTGCAAAGAGACAGACACAACTGAGCAACTGAACACACAAGAAGCTTGCTATCTATTAAAAACACAGAAACTATTTAGCCACTACAATGTTATGTGCATCCATTCATCCATCCTTCTGTGGGTCTTTAGCCTCAAGGATACTGTCAATTAAAGTGAATAATACCATAGCTCTTAATAATGTATATATATTTAGATGCAGAAGTGAGGCAAAGCCATTTAAGGAACTATCCATGAACACTGTGAAAAGAAAGATGACAGTCATCCAAGTTACAAGTAACTTTTTGTTACTGAGCAGTTTAAACTGTGGAACATGTATGCATGCTTAGTCGCTCAGTCATGTCTATCCAATTCTGAGACCCCACGAACGGTAGCCTGCCAGTGTCCTTCATTCATGGGATTCTCCAGGCAAGAACGGTGGAGGGGGTAGCCATTCACTTCTCCAGGGGAATCTTCCTGACCCAGGGATTGAACCTGGGTCTCCTGCATTGCAGGTAGATTCTTTACCATCTGAACTATCAGGGAAGCCCTTAAAATATAGAAATGTCTCAGGTAATAATTATTAGAATATTATTAGCAAGATGCATATAGGCATGTGGACCTAAAATGAATGGTGATGATACTATTATTCATCACTCCTGTGTTTCATATCTCTATTTGATTACTGAAATGAATGTAAGTTGAAGCTTAGTCTTTCCTGAAATGCTGTATAAAGTTTCAGAACATTTCTGAATATTTAGGTTATTCCAGCTACTCCATAGGGATAATTACTGACCCTTCATTCCAAGGAAAACTTCCAGGCCAATTTTAATTTTAAGCACAATTATTCCTTCAGGGTAATGTGGATGATATTTCCAGGTTGAAAAAGTATAAAATAAAGTATATTTTCAGCCAAAGGAGATTTCTTTTAAAGAGGTAATTTTAACAGCTATATAAGCTAAAATAATGCATTTTCCTCCATCTTCCCTGGATTTAATCAACTATGTTCTGATTTTGAAAATGCATTTTTCAGTATTTTTTAAGTCCAAATAATTCTCACAATTTCTTAGATCTTTTAAATATCTTCCTGTCATCTTCTGGTAGTATCACTGCCCTCAACCTATACTTAGATGATTCTTTATATCCTTCTGAAAAGAATCTTTCTCAAACACAGACTGTTTTGCAACATTACTGCCTCTTTCACCATCTCCACCCCCAAATGCATACAGCCTGGAGTTCAGAGTGGCATTTTAGGTCCTCCACCCTCTGGCCCCCCCATCTTTTTTCAGCCTTCACTGCTGCTGGCCTTCTGACCTATTCATTCAACTAGCATTTTATTAGGCTCCCAACAAATGCTAGCCCCAGTGCTCAGTCCCGGGGAAGGAGTGGTGAGACACAATTTCTGCCTTCAGGGAGCCTATAATATGTTAGAAAACCCAGCAACCGTGAGACAGTGAACCATGCGACAGCAAGCTCTGTAAAAAGTGCACTGGGAATACAGAAGGGAGGGCAAGGCAACAAATACCCTCCAGCTCCCTAGTAAAAGCCAACGCAGATCCTTACAGGACAGTAGTGAGTACAGGAGTGTTTGGTCTCCTTTTGATGATTGCTTTTCCCATGTGATTCATCTTTGGGGGAATCTCTCCCACTGAATCATTATCACCAACACATTGGCCTCAGAGAGGCAGTTGCACCACTTTATTGCTCTAGCCTAAGAATAATCTCGTTTTTTCCCCCTGAAGCCTCCAAATAACAGCTGAGTCTGGGCTGAACTAGTTAAACAAGACCTTGAGAAGGTTAAGGGAGAAGCAGAAAAGTAATACTATAGTAGGCAACTAGATAATCCAACAAAATAGAACCAACTCCTTCAAAGATATCCTCCTTCCCTGCTGTGGGGCTGCTTTTTCTTCCCTGTCATCACAGAGCACCCCAGCTTCATCTGAGCTTCCAGAAGCTCAGACATGGCTGGCAAAGTCCAAAGAGATACAGAAATTTCCTCTCCTATTTGAGATAGACCTCCATCCAAGCTCTTGTTTCTGGTACATTACCTTGCCTTGTCTTCAGAAGGATAACACTGGGAATGCCCTTTGGGGAGGCTGTTCAACCCACAGCCGGTCTTGTTGATGCCCTTGCCCAGTGGTTTCATGGGGAAAGAATATCAAAATACAAGTCCATTCACACAAAGGTAGAAGGGATATATGTTGGGAATAGTGCTAGGGAGGAATTAATTGCACTATAAGGGACCCCTAAAGTGGGGAGGAGTCATAGAAAGTTTCATGAGAAGGTGAAATGAGGACTGAAAGTCATAGAGAAGTTAGGCAGATAGAGCACACTGGACATCAAAATGAGTAAAATCAATTTTGGAAGGAGTGAAGAGCCTTTGCAGACGGACCTGAGGAGTAAGGAGAGTGTCCTACCTACCAGTCCCTTAGCCTGGCTAGAGCTCAGTGCCCAGGGGAAACGGAGAGAGCGGTGGCTGGAGAAGATGAGACAGCCAGGGCCCAGTTCTCCAAGGGCTGCTGAGCATGGACCCCCACCTGAAGGCCCTGGGAAGCCAGGGAAGAATTTTAAATTAGGAGCAACATGACCAGGTTTTCGTTCTGAAAAAAAATATCTTTTGAGCAGAAGTGAGGGATTAATTAACAAAGGATGAAAATGAAGGGAGAAAGGCCAGTTAACAAGTGATGGTGGTAACAGCAGGCCATGAAGTTTTCATTTAAGGCACTGGAAGTACATATGAGCAGGGGATGAATGAATACAAATTCAAGAGGTATTTGGAACTTAGATTCAACAAGACTTTATGACTATTTAGATGGTGGTGGTGAGGTTATGGGAAAATTCTAGAACAATGATACCTAATAGAACTTTCCAGAGATGGAAATATACTAGGATCAGTGCTGCCCAGTATGATAGCCCCTAGCCATATAGAGCCACTGAGCAGTTGGAATGTGGCCAGTGCAACTGAGGAACTATATTTAATTAAATGTAATCACCACCTGTGACTAGTGGCTACCATACTGGGCAGTGAAGAGCTGGAGGAACGCCGAGGATTTTGGAACTTGTTGGATGGTTGGTGCCATTCACTTCAGCAGAGAATACAAAAAGGAAGATATGGGAGAGAAGACCATGAATTCAAAATGGACAAGTTATGCTTCAAGTGAAGACAGCTCTATGACAGGCAGGTGGCAACACCTCAATACCAGAAGTACAGGATTCAAGCTGGGCCAGGGCTGGAGATGCACTGCAGCCAGACCCAGAGTACCATCCCTCCCAGAACACCCTCTGGGCCTCTGCTTGTCTTGTTACTTTCTGCCTTCCTTCAGTCTGCCAAAATCCCATTCAGGGCTTAGGTCACAGATCCCCACCAACTACCAAAATCAAACTGCATCCTTGTCCTCTTTGGCACAGTGTGAACAACTGGAAATAGGGGCTGGGCCTCACTTACCTTGTGCCCTAACACCTGGAAAGGTGCATACAGTAGGTGCTCATTCCGTGTCTATGAAACCAATTTGGAGACTAGGCTTCACATCCTCTTTGGACAAAGGTGAGTCTGTCCATTTCTTCCCTGCTCTTTATCCTGAGAATATACTTTTTGTCCTGCTCCGTCATGTTTTCTAATTGGGATGGAAAAAATACACCCCTCAACCAAAAGAAAAAAAGAGAGGGATGACTAGCACATGGTCAGTATCAGCACTGTGTCCCCATAAAGGATTGTGAAATGGAAATCACACCTTCTCCTCAACCACTGCCTCAACCCAAACCCTGGCAGGGGGCATAGTCCTATGTTTAGGGCTGACTCTGGCCCCTGCTGCCGTTTTTTTTAGCTGCGAGAGCCATCAGATGTCGAGTCCACTCAGGGAATTCTGGCTTGTGGCCACTGAATGAGTACAGAGACTCAAACTAGCACGGCTTTGGGCTGCCTTTAATTCATGTGTTCAGCGGATGCCGATGAGGTGCCTCCTCTGTGCCAGGCACTGAGCAGCAATAAGCGACAGCATGATCTCTGCCCTCAGGGGAGAATCAGAAATTAACTCATGAAGCATAGAAACAAGTGTCAAACTTATCCCTGATCATGCCTACAAAGAAGGGGAACTTGATCTAAGTAGGGTGGGGAAGCAGGGTAGTGTCTAGGAAACATCCCCTATATATGACATCCCACCCGCTATACACGTGACATCACAGCCACTCAGTGAGTGGCTGGGTGAGAGCCGAAGGCAGGCAGAGGGGGTGGGAGGCAGGACAAGGCAGACAGCTGTGGCAGGAAGGGCACATGGGGGGCTGAGGTGCTGCCAGCTGGTCCAGCTGGTGCCGAGAGCGAGGGAGCATGCTGCAGGGCGCCCTCAAGGGAGCGGGGAGGTGGGTGATGGTAGAGACCTTCGGTCTTTAGCCTAAGGATAATGGGAAGTTATTGAAGTGGGGAGGTGAGACTACATTAGCATTTTTAAAAGATCACTCTGGCGGCAGGGAGGATAACAGACTGGAAGAGACCCGGAGCAGGTGTGGAGAAACTGACAGAGTACACACATCTAGAGCAACTCAAGATATTTATGACTGAGGTTAATTTAATTTGTAGCCTTGGCTAAGCTAGACAGGACTCAATTTAGGAATGTAAGCTATACGTGAAACCTGACAGTTTTTTTTTCCATTTTTTTTCTCTGACATAGGCAACTGATTGAAGGAACAGATGTTCTTCATCAACTAGAATCGGTTCCAACAGAGAATGAAAGACCAATACAAAATTGTGTAATTACTGACAGTGGAGAGCTTTATGCCTGACTTTCATATCAGTATTTTCTGACAGTTTTATTATTATATATCTGATCAGCTGTTTCTAGATTTAATTAAATGGTGCTTGATAAAATTTAATTTGAAAGCTGTGGCAGATGCTGTAGGGTAGCTCTCCAACACCCACTCCCCTCCCCATTTTCCTTTCTTATCTAAAGCAAAATACACAATTTTCCAGCTTTCTTTGCGTCACGAGTAGCCATGAGATACTGTATCGGCCAGTCAGACAGGAGCAGGATGCCAGTGGTCCTGCCCCTTCCCTTCTATCCAGTCTTGAATGCAGAGAGGCTGGAGCCATGAAGGAAAGGCTAAGAGAACCACAAAGATATTAGCTCCATTTCTTGATCTGTAAGGACCAATACCAGCACCTATCTATGTCTCGACTTCTTACTACATGAGACAAATAGACTACTGTTTGTTGGCTGGTTGATTTTGTTACTTGTAGTCAAAACCATTCTTAACTTAGCAGCAGTACTTAATGGCCTTGAATCCTAAAACATTTGTAACTATAATAGAATTATGTTGCTGTTTATAATTATATTTCTCCCATAAGAAGCTTGGTAAATAATCAAATATGAGAGGCAACGGAATAAAATTCATTGTAATATTTGTTTATAACAAAGCATTCAGAAAAGGGTATACACTTTGGATGTTTTTATGCGTAAAATGCTTGTCTCTGAGTCATACCAACCATGTGAAAACCAGGCACTTGAGTTACAGTCCCTATGGTGGTAGATTCCTGAGATGCTATTGGGATCCAGTTTTATCAGCTGCTCCTTAAGCTGCTGCTGCTAAGTCACTTCAGTTGTGTCTGACTCTGTGCGACCCCATAGACAGCAGCCCACCAGGCTCCACCGTCCCTAGGATTCTCCAGGCAAGAACACTGGAGTGGGTTGAAATTTCCTTCTCCAATGCATGAAAGTGAAAAGTGAAAGTGAAGTTGCTCAGCTGTGTCCAACTCTTCGCGACCCCACGGACTACAGCCCACCAGGCCCCTCCGTCCATGGGATTTTCCAGGCAAGAGTACTGGAGTGGGGTGCCATTGCCTTCTCCAGCTCCTTAAGCTAAGAGGTATCAACTAGGGAACTTTTTCAACACAGGTGGCTGGAATGTATCCTTGAGCCACAGTCTCTAAACATGGGACACAGATCCTTGGAATGCACGCAGCTCTCTCCCCAGAGGTTCTTATTTAGTTGCCTGAGCACTGGTCACTTGGGAATCACTGCAAGACACAAGCGGCAAGTCTCAGCCCCTCCTTGGTTAGTGCACGCTTGTCTGCATCGGTGGTGACCACTGTTTGCACCACCGCTGCCACACTGCTGCTCTGCCCAGAGCCACCACACTTTTCTTGTGCCTAACTGAAGGTTTGTCTTCCAAGAGCAATCTCTCTCTGAGCCAATCTTCAGGAGACAGCCCTCTAGTTGACTTGGGTTTTGCCAAAGGGAGGCCAAGGATTTAAAAAATTTTTTTTAGTTTGAAATGGTTATAGATTCACAGGAAACTGCAAAAATAGAGTGGTCCTGTGTACTGATCACCATTTCCCCAGAGGTCCTATCTTTATGAGTGAAAGATGCTCAGTTGTGTCCGACTCTTGGCGACCTCATGGACTGTAGCCCACCAGGCTCATCCATCCATGGGATTCTCCAGGCAAGAATACTGGAGTGGGTGCCATTTCCTTTTCCAGGGGATCTTCCTGACCCAGGGATTAAACCTGCGTCTCATGCATTGCAGGCAGATTCTTTACCATCTGAGCCACCAAGGAAGCCCATCTTATACTAAAGTACAATATTAAAACCAGGCCATTGACAGAAGAGTTGTCATTTTATCCTGTGTAGATCTGCGTGACTGGCACCACAATCGAGACACAGAACTTTTTCAGCACCACAAAGACCTCCCTTCGCTAGCCCTTCATAGTTACACCAACGCCCCTGCTTCCCACCATCCATTCTGCCAACCGGTATCTATGGATCTATCCATCTACCTCTCTCCCCCTCCCTCTCTTCCTTCCTAATAACAGCTTCACTGCTACTGTGATGTGGCTCCATCCTCAGCTCTGAGGTGCATGAGAAAGACGCGTGCTACCTGTGTCAGACTGTCAATGATCTGGGGGTTGCAGAGTACAAAGAATGTGTGTTCTGGAACCAGACAGCCAAAGTTAGAGTCCTGGCTCTGCCCCTCCCTCGCTGCATGAATGTAGGCAAGAACTTCGCTGTCTTTTTTGCCTCATCTCAAACAGTAGAACCTACCACACAGGGCTGCTCTGAGGGTTCAGGGAATCAGTACTTTGTAGACAGGATCTAGAATACTAACTGTTATGCTATAAGTGCTCAACATATGTATGATTAATAAATTCCTGGTGTATGACCTTCAGAGTGTTGTCAAGGAACTTGCATTTTAAAAAATTCCTCAAAGACTGATTAACAGCAGATTTGGAAAACACTGAAGAGGCGGTATCTCCTTTTTCTCTACTCTGAGGACTTGCCCCCTACCTAAGCACCCCAGCTCTTTGTATTTGGAGGGGTTCCTCCAGTCACACTGGTGACACCTCAAACAAAGGGGTGCTGAGCTTGCCATAGAGAGTCTCAGCAACTCCTGAAGCATGTGATAAATCAAACTGACGCTGTGCAAAAGTCCTGGTTAATACAAATTACAAGCATTAGTCATGTAATAAGCAGCAGCAGAACAATTCTTACTGACAGCGAGAATTAAGCATCTAATATTGTCAAAGAACTGGGGTATCGGCATGGACATAAGAAACTCTTTATTTTTCAGTTTAGCTGCAATGTAAAGGTAAAACCCCAGTGACCATCTAAAGGACAGCAAGTCCACGGTCCCTCTGCTCTCACTCCCCACTTGCAGGGTGTGTGGAAACTTTAATCACAGATCTATACATGCAGTGGTTCTTATTATCATCATTTAAAGGTACACACACTGATACTTCTGTATTAGAATATATTCTCTCAGAATGATTTATATGTTTAACCATAACATTTGGAGAAACTGTTACAAAGGACACAAGCTTATCCAACTAACTCCAAATATAAGACTTTGATTTAACCAAACTGAAAAGATTTTGATTTGCTTAAACAGAAGGAATTCTAAATTTTTCCAAGTCCACAAATACAAGAGTAAGGGCATTCTGATGATTTTATACAAAATGCTAGTTATGCAACCTTGTCCTAATTGCTGATATGGCAAAGGCAAGTACATATGCTGTATCTTACAGCAAGCCATGTTGATAAGCAGAGTGTGGTATCTGTTCATTTTGGAAGGGGGAGATTTGAGATAAACGTTTAAAGTTCTACCTAAAGAACATGTTTTCCTCAACTCCAAACAATGCCAGCTATTTGTTAATGAATGAATAGGCTGGCAACCTCAGGATTCCATACTCAAGAGTATTTACATTTTATACATATTTAAAACCAGGTGTGTTTGTTTTAGTCCCAGCTAGTTAGCAAAATGGTGGCCAAATCACTTAACTTTGCATTTTCTTCATTTGTTGAAAGAAGTAAAGAAGCTTGTCAGCTCCCCTCTGGCTCTAATACTGTGGTGGTTCCCTGAGTACATTTACATGATAAATAACAACTCTATAATTTACTTTTGGGCTTCAATTTCATTAGTAAAATCGGGGCACATCTCATAACGGCTTGAGGATTGAGCTAATTTGTGAAGACACCTCTAATGATGCTTGACATAAAGCATAAATTCAACGAAAGCTGGTTTCTCTTCTGGAATGTCAACCCACAAAAACCAGAGAAACTGCCACTAACAGAACATTATCATTTCAAGAACAACAAATCCCTGTTATGCTCAGGGTTAGCTATTCACATGAACATACTAATTTCCAATTGACTGAATTAACTCAAAGGTATATCCTCAAAATTAAAATCAATCTCTATCAACCTGTGATAGTCTCTCCCTCATGGAAACTCACTTTTTAAACTACTATATTGCTTATACCATCCACTACCCTTCCCAAATGGAATCATGCCTTAAACTAGCAAATCTAGTCAGTCCATACTTCCAGTAAGTTTCATACATCATACAAAATATTTGTAACAAACTCAGTAGTAACACAACATGAAGTCTGACACTTGAAAGGGGGCTTTGAAAATGTGATGAATCGTAACTTCTTCAGTGTGCATCAAAATGCTGGAGCCTATTAAACCACAGATTCTTGGGCCTCACACCAGTCTCTGGTTCAGTGGATTAGCAGTGAGTTGGAGAATTTGCATTAACATGTTCCAGGTGATGCTGATCTGGTGACCACACATTAAGTACCACTGGGGACTTCCCTGGTGGTACAGTGGACAAGAATCTGCCTGCCAAAGCAGGGGACACGGGTTCAATTCCTGGTCCAGGAAGATCCCACATGGCGCAGAGCAACTAAGCCCGTGTACCACAACTACTGAGCCAGCACACTTAGAGCCTGTGCCCTGCAACAAGAGAAACCACTGAAATGAGAAGCCTGCACACCGCAAGGACGAGCAGCCCCTGCTTGCCGCAACTAGAGAAAGCCTGGTCATAGCAGCAAAGACCTAGTGCAACCAAAAATAAAAATTAATTAAAAAAGAACCACTGGACTGTACTGAAGTCATAGATACACGAGAGACTTGGGGCATACAAGTATGCAGAACAAAGATAAAAGTTACTAAACACTGAAGTGTGACAACAGAAAAGAATGAGAATTCCCTGCTAGTCCAGTGGTCAGGACTCCGGGCTTCTATTGCAGAGGGCCGGGGTTTGATCCCTGGTCATGGAACTAGGATCCTGCAAGTGGCACGGCCAAAAACACCCCAAACCACACACACACACAAAGAAAAGAATGAAAAATGATAAGACAAGAAACTGCTTTTATCAAGGCAGAAGAGAGGTATGCAAACACTAGCCGATCACAGGGGACAGCAACTAGAGGCCTGATGCAGGGTCCCAGAGCTCTTGGATGGGTTGGAGGTGAGCCCTCCGCTGGTGGAGAGGCAACGGGGCCAAGT